GGCTCGTTGCTTTTACTACCGTCTCCGTCAAACTTCTGTGGAATAGGCCCATATACAGCCTCAGAAGAATTCCAGCCAACAAACCTGATCTTGTCCTTGTGGATAAAGCCAATGAATTTATTTATATCATTGAATTCTCTGTCCCATTTGACAGTAACGTGATTGGCAAGATTCAGCAAAAGCATGATAAATATGCGGACCTCGCCTTTGAATTGTCTCGCTTGCATCCCAAGTACACTGTCGTCAGGCTCCCTATTGTTCTCGGTGCCCTTGGTTTGGTACCTCCTGATCTCTTGGCGCAGATCAGGGGAGCGCCTGGGTTCTCTACCGGGAGCACAGCCGTTCTGACACTCTGGGTAATGCAGAAGGCTGCAGTGTTGGGGAGCCTTCATATTCTCCTGAAAGTTCTTGTTGGGTTCGACTAGGCAGTGTTACCTGGGAGAAGTCCAATTCGCTGTCTGGTCTGCGTGTAGAGGGGGCAAGGGCCCTGAGCTGATGATGAGCCTTACCAGCCTGACTGTGCCAGGATGACCCGAACCCTCTCTGCTGCATTTTCATCTTTAATCTGTAAAACATAATAATAATAATAATAATAAAAGCAAACCATCTTTCAACTCCGCAGTCCAGTCAACCTTCCTCCGGTAGTCAAACCAACCACACTGGAGATGGGACTTGCCCCAGGGGAGGCACAGACCCGACTAAGAATATCTTGGTTCTTCGTCATGCCTGTGGCTTTGACTCCAAAGATCCATCCATGGTACGACCCTGAACATGTCCAGGGCGTCATGGAAAATGATGCTTTCAAACTTCTGTGGAATAGGCCCATATACAGCCTCCGAAGAATTCCTGCCAACAAACCTGATCTTGTGCTTTTGATAAAGATGAAGCCAATGAATTTATATATATCATTGAATTTTCTGTCCCTTTTGACAGCAATGTGATTAACAAGATTCAGGAAAAGCATGATAAATATGCGGACCTCGCCTCGCTGATGACGAGCCTTACCAGCCTGACTGTGCCAGGATCATCCGAACCCTCTGTGCTGCATTTTCATCTTTAATCTGTAAAACATAATAATAAAAAAGAACTTAGATATGAGCAAACCCATGAAACTCTTTTTGTTATATCTTTCAGACTCCGACGACAACAAGCCCAAACCAAAGCAGAACTTGAAAGGCAGTATATGCCCCGAGAAACTCAGGGGGGATCATCTATCTATGACGTCATTGCAGGAACTCATACATACAGCAATGAAGTACAACCTGGGGATAATGAAAACACCAACACGCATGATACCAACTCATTACAGGATGCTAATATCTGCAACACGGCTCAGAGAGACATATATGACTTCTACAGTGGCATATCAATGGAATCCAATTCCATGGAAACAGAATACATGTTCGTGTCTCAACGTTGGTCTCCACTCTTGTGGAGGAATCACAGACCTGTACCTGCTGGTTAAAGCGTTGGCTCGGCACGCTGAAGACCCAGGTTCGAATCCCCACATGGGCAGAATGTGTGAAGCCCATTTCTGGTGTTCCCGCCGTGATATTGCTGGAATATTGCTAAAAGCGGCTTAAAATCATACTCACTCACTCAATGTGTGAACTGTCAAGCTAGGAGAAATACAACTTTGGACCGGTGCTATGGAAACATAAAACGATCCTACAAAGCTGCTGACTAACCACCGCTTGGAACTTCCGACCATAATACAGTACATCCCCTTCCGTGCTACAAACAGAATATCAAGACAGGAAAACCTGCAGTAAAGGCGATCAAGTCCTGGGATCCAGATTCGATTCAACAACTATATGGCTGTTTTCTGTGCACGGGCTGGGATACACTGTTGGCCGACCCTGATCAGCTGACGAGTACAAACTATATACGTTTCAATGTGCCATGTCTTATATTTGTAAAGACGAATTTTATACAAAATACAATACCAGCGCCATTGTCACTTGCATTATGTAACCAGATTGTAGGAATGTCAGGCTGGCGTTCAAGGGCGCAGCTACCATTACAAACAAAAGCTCGGGCTAACACATGATTTTTGCTACGAAAGTTGGACAAGCCTTCAATACTATCTAAATATACAGCTATGCAACCTATCGGGCTTGCACAAACAAAATAGCTTGCTACGCGCCTGGCGTTAATAGCCGTGCCACCCGTGAAGATCCGGGTGAGAACTGATCTTCAGTAACCTATGCTTGTCGTTAGAGGCGACTAACGGGATCGGGTGGTCAGGCTCACTGACTTGGTTGACACATGTCATCGGTTCCCAATTGCGCAGATCGATGCTCAAGCTGTTGATCACTGGATTGTCTGGTCCAGACTCTATTGCTTACAGACCACCGCCATATAGCTGGAATATTGCTGAGAGTGGCGTAAAACTAAACTCACTCTCTCACTCTCTCCCTCACTAACAGCCGTGCCATAAGTCGTGAGTTGCACGTAAGCGTTAGAACTCTACAGAGAATAAAAAATTTGCTCCGAAATCGTCAGTCATTAGTACCAAACATTTGTACAGGTAGACCCCGAAAAGCGCAAGGGACGACAGGCCTCACTTCCGCCTTGTACGTCGACATCGATATTTATGTGGCATGGTGTTAAGAGAAAGATGGGGGTGTTCTTGCTATCTTGAGGCTTAGCAGGCAAACGGTGAACCGTAGGCTACTGGAGAGGGGGTACACAGCAAGCGTTGGGGGCGGGGGGTGACTCGGTTTTGGTATAGGGTGGTATTCGTACAGAGACATTTTGGAAAAAAGCATTTGATTCCATGATGTCTTTTAGCGACATTTAGAAGTTGTATGTAGAGTCCATCTGATGAAGGGATCTGTAATGGTCCCGAAACGTTGTGAGGGAAATAATAAAGAAGCTTAAATTCATGAAAAATATCTTTGACATTTGATTCCACATGCACGACAGGTATACGGCAACAACGTCCTGCTGCAAGATGACAATGTTGTTCCACATTGTGTCAGGGCCATTGGTGTTTTTCCTGGAAAGGGAGGGTGTTCACAGATTGCACTGACCCGCGTTAGAGTGAGTGAGTGAGTGAGTATGGTTTAACGCCGCCTTTTGAAATATTCCAGCAATATCACGACGGGTGACACCAGAAATGGGCTTCACACATTGCACACATGTGGGTCATCAGCGAGACGAGCCAACGCTTTAACCACAAGGCTACCCCATCGCCCCACACTGGCCTACGAAAAGTCCAGATATGAATCATATTGAGGACATTTGGGACCATCTGGGTAGGCAAGTACGACAATTGGTAGTCCATCCTAGAAATGTTATTGTGCGCATCCTTGGTTCGAATCTGGAACGCTACATGACCAGACATTGTCAACAACCTTGTTGATAGCTTGAGGCCATGGATTGCCTCCCTTATTGAAGCACGTGGAGGATCTACTCGCTATTTTCCTGATAACTGAATGTTCTGAGACATTTATCCTCAATATTTAAATCTTGCAACAAATTTTGTATTGAATAAAGCTAGCTTATTCACAAGTCAGTCTCACGTGTAAAAGTTATTAGTTTTGAAGTTAGCATGTCTTTGGTGGTCTTTTACTAAAATCGTATACAGAGTTCTTTAGATAATTATTTAATGTTAGTAACATAATTGAATTTCAACAAAGCTATTAAACAAAATGAAAGGATAAACAAAAGAAAAGTGAAAAGCCGTTCAACGCAAACACTGGGACTGTTTATTGCCCCAAATTTCGTATTGCGATATATTGCGATACACTCTTCTGTATTGCGATACGTATTGAGATATATTGCTATACACTCTTCTGTATCGCGATACGTATTGCAATATATTGTGAAAGAACAGTTATTGAGATCTGTCCTTTTTGTAATATTCTTTTACCTTCAAATTGAATCACATTATATGCGAGTAACCAGTGTGCATTGTATAGCTTCTTTCTAAGCAAGAAAAAATAAACAACCAGAACATTTTTCTGTTTATATTTTTATTTTAAAACAGCAGGGTTCGACACTCACTAAACATTTTAACTAGTTCTTCGGGCTAGTTGATTTTGTATGTCATTAGTCCTTTCCAAATATTACTAGCCCTACACTTTACTATAAAAACTTTCAACAAGTCTTTCTTTTAATGGTAACTGTTGTCCAAGGGAAAGTTAACACAGATAAATGTACGATGTCTCATTTCATATATATGACAAAATTAACTGAAACTAGCTTACACCATGTCCTCCATCAACCCACCCATGCCCATACGGGCAGAATAAACGAGAATTTTGACAACAGGTGTATGGGCAACATGCATTTGCATACACATGCCCATATACCTGTTATTAAAATTCACTTTCCTTTTACACAATGGTGGTTTGTCGTTTTGTAATATCAGTGATTACGACTTGGTATCGTTTCTTTTACCCGTTAGCTTATTTCTATACTTAAACTCCTTTAAACAGCAAGGATGATGAATTTCAAATAATTTAAAGAGTCTGAGCTACTGTGCACATCTGTATGACTCAAGAAAAATATAATTGAATTCACAATCATGTGACATGATCTTGAAGTGAACCTTCTAATCAAAACAATGATTTATGCACCTATGTCTTTGAATAAAAGTATTATTAACATTACCCAATTCATGAATGACGTTTGGTACACTTTCTCATAAAGAAATGATTTAACAAAGCACTCAAGATGGGCAAAAGTCTCTCTGTATTAGGTAAAGTAAAGTTTCTTTAAACTGAATAGAATAATGAAAAATAAATGAAACATGAGAAACATAGGTCTTAAATATATTGAAGAGGAATTTCATGTACTGTTCATTTGTGAATCCTATTCACAACTAAGAGAGAGGTTTATAACAAAATGTGTTAAAAAGCCTTATACTGTATATTCTTTAGCAAATCCTTTCAAGAATACTAATGTAGACACTGTAAAATCTGTTGCCTTGTATCTATTTTATGTTAAAAAGGATTATTATAAACACACTTGAATGATCATTGTGCCCCTGACTACACTGGACTTTCCTTTTGAATGTATTTTCGGTCTACGGCCTTTTACTGGAAATAAACTCTGTCTCTCTGTCATTTTGATCAAGAATAAAAGACTTACAGGTAGATGCAGTTTGAGATTTTGTGATAATTCTTAGATCATCTCGATATATCAATAACTCGACGTATATTCGGTGGTCCCACGGGAAACTAAAGTCACTTTGTGACATCTCCTAATCTAAGACGTTTAAACAAAGCTGAAACCTTTGAACAAGGAAACATAATGGGGCTGCTATGTGTTTTGATGAAGTAAAACGCCTTTGCTATTTTCTTATCACTACCTGCTTCGTAACTACGCGTTGACAAACTGTAAGTAATCAGACACACCCGCTTCCCGACTGAAGAAAAGTTAAACATCATTAGTGACTCCTTGTTTTGTAATGACGTCATAGGCAGATGATTCCTCTGGAGTTTCCAGTGACATATATTGTTTTTCAAGTTCAGCTTTGCTTAGGGCTTGTAGTCGTCTGAGCCTGAAAGATATAACGAAAAAGGTTAGTTACATGGCTTAGCTCATATTTACGTTCAAAGGGTAAGAATCTCAATACTGACAAGTATTCAATCTCTAGTAATCTTAATGCTGAAATTTTAACTGTATATCAATGTAACATTCACTCTGATGGCCTATTATTCTGAACGTCCGGGATGCAATGTAACAAAGAATTTTATTTTCATACACAACTCTCTCTCTTTCTCTCTCTCCTCTGTGTGTGTCTGTCTCTCTTTCTTTCTCTCTCTCACTTTCCCTTTCCCTGGCAAAAGCCGTCAACGATAGTAACAACAAAGATAATTTTACCTGACATTAAGTGTTGTTACTACAGCTAAGTATGCCAAGAGCAACACCATTAGGCAACACACGACGATGAAGCGAACGTCTGAAACAGAGGAGGTATTTATATATACTGATATATGTTCTGTAGGTGTTGATAAAGGTTTACGTAAATGATGTATATTAGTGTAATGTGGAAAATCACTTACATTGTCCGCGGTGGGAAGACACATTAAGTATCAATCACGCACCTGTCCCAGTTAGTCTTACCTGTTGCATTGCCTGTATCATCATCTTTGACTGGACTCGCAGTGCCTGTTGGGAAACACAAACTGATATGAACAAACTTGCAAGAGTTAAAACTTCCTTGATGTTTATACCTCAGAAGAACACATCTGTAAAGCGTTTACTCATAAAACTGACACGTGACTTGTCGTCATGAGACACATGAACCACTGGATTACATGCCTATATGTTCGAGATTAGCATGTGATAAAAATGTCTTTTGATTTAGATTGCACCAAAACGCATCGCAACACCTAACAACCCAAATATTCTAGCAAGTATCATATGTTCTTAATATCAGTATTATTTTACATTATTTTACATTGATTATGCAAACGTGAATTGCTAAATGCCTATTTCCTAATAAAGGCGCTAAAGTGTTTGTGTCTTGGATTAAGGCGATAATAATATACTATACAAAATGAATTCTCATCAATTAGACACTCAGATATGAAGTGTCGGCTCAAAATATGATCATGGTATTTAGACGACGGAGACGTAAATATGGCAAAGAGTATATCGTCAGCATATTAATCGGCGAATCATATTGCTGTCTGACCTTTAACACTGGCTCAGATAGCTGCAGGCAATTTGACAGTGATTTTTTGTACAAATGTCAGGGTATATATTATCCTGATAGCAATTACATTGACATTGCTCTGTTGTTCCTGTTGCTGGTGTTATTGTTGTTGTTGTCGTCTGGTACCCAGTTCCACATTCCCCTGTGACTTTGTCACACACCTCACACTGGTTCAGACAGCTGCACACACCAGAACAGTTCAGACCGTACGTGTAGTCTCCACATTCTGAAACCCAATAGGTTTCAACAGAAGGGTGTTTATGTGAGTAAACTAATTCCCTAGGCTCTAACGTTGCCCTGTGCCTGGTGCTCAAAGAATAGGTTAGTTCCGAACTGTGATTAATCAACACTCTGTATACGAGTTCATGCTTTGCCCATATTATCAAACTATTTGAAAAGAACTTAGAAAAGGTTGTGCAAAGATTTATCATTATTTTGGTATCAATGTTTAATGTACATTTGGATTAATTTGGGTAAACATGATACGATCACAAACCCAACCTTTCACACACAGTGGCGGGACGTATCCTGGCAAGCATCCCATTTCACAGTGTCCAGTTGACCGGTCGCAGCCAGGTCCATCCTTGCAGTGACCACAGGTGGCTGAACAGTTTACACTGTACTTTCCCTGGACACATGCTGTTGGAATAATAAACTATATCACCAGCTCACTAGACGTTTTCAAAACCCAGGGTAATGGACAAAAGTATCCAACGTTAAAATATTAGTTCTTGAAGCTATATTATTCGTATTGACCTGGCGACAAAATTGTAATCAGTCATTAATTCTTAATATAAATGATAAATATTATTGAACATGATGGATTTCATATATTGCGTGTCACTGAGACCTGCATATAGGAGGACTGGACAATTTGATATTGTCTTTTGCTCCGGAATATGGATGAACACGTTCAGAATGTATATCAATTTGAAATATGGTGGGAGAATTAACGCTTACATACTCTTTAAAAAAGTAGCAGAGATATTGAAATACTTTTAAATTTCCAAATCTGTTATCTTACTTTCTAGTAATAGTTGAGTAATAATATTCAGTGAAGTTTAAGCAATGGGGTTTCAGGAGTAACCACACAAAAGGGGACAACTTGACTGAAGACACTTCTTGTCATTCAGCTACAACACTTCATGTGGTGATGAACATGTGGAGTTTTGAGTGTTCATGGTCCATTTTCCACAACAGACTCCTAAAGAACCGTGTCAAACCAGCCAATTTTGAGTTAGATTTTGTACATAAATATTTTTTATAGCATGGAAATATTCAACTTACATTAAGAACAACCAATTGTAAAACTGGACACATTACATACATTAGGGACCAGTTCAAAAGTTCACTGTAGGATTAAACACTTACTTCTTTAGGTTTGGAGACATGATTTGCGAACATCACATTTGATACAAAATTGTCGAAAACATTTACCACCATTTTTCAAAGGGAAATCAATCACATTAGGAAAGTCTTATTTAAACTCAACATTTGTCAACAACTCATCATTCAGCCATGACACAAAGTAACCTGGCATAACCTTAGTCCTTTGCTTCTAGACAGGTTCACCTTATCCGAGGTCAAGCGCCCTGTCAACCAGACCTTAGAAATCGCCATGCATGTGCATGTATAACAGTCAGTGATACATTGTGTAACCCATGTGGTATAATATTATACTGAAAAAGGAAATTGGGTATACACAGATCGTCTTTTGAGAAAGTAGAATCTCATGCCCCCTTTAAAGGTCTGTTAACCATCAGTTATTGGTTTGGGATTCGAGTAACTTCACATCGAGATTGTTTAGCGCCTGAGTAGTTGAAGCCAAGGTCCAGCCTCCTTACCCAAATTACCCGTGAAGTTCAGGGTTACAATTGGTCTTCGGAAACCCAGGCTTGTAAAGGGCGACTGGGTGGTCAGGCTCGCTATCTTGGTTGACAAGTCATCGTATCCCACTTGCGTGAATCGGTGATCATGATGTTGATCACTGGATTGTCTCGATTATTTACAGACCGCCACCATATAGCTGGAACATTGCTGAGTGTGGCGTTAAACGACCAACCAACCAACCAACCAACCGTACCCAATTCATCTGTTCTCCTGTCAAACTGTTTCTACAATGCAGTTAGCTTCGAAGACTTTACTGTAGATTACTCCAGGATTTGTCCACATAGTATTCATGACCGGGAACAACTAACAATGCCACAACGTTGGACTTCTTCTGCTGTTGTCATAGTATTGTGTCATTTTGTCATATTAATATTTGAGGCTTTCCCTGGTAATGTCATTTTTCCACAAAGAAGAGGTTCGGAAAGAGCTAATAGTCGACTAATTCAAGTCTAATTGATCTTAGTATTTAACTAGTAGAATCTGGCAACTATATGTCAATAAAACTATACCTGTCAACCTTCTAGCGCCTCATAGACAGTTTTTCGTTATATGGGTTAATAATGTTCACCATGTTGTGTGAGCTCAGGGCATGCCAGTGCGATGTGGAGGTCAGCGTTATATAAGACGTCATGTTATGTGTGTGTGTGTGTGTGTGTGTGTGTGTGTGTGTGTGTGTGTGTGTGTGTTTGTGTGTGTGTGTTGTTTTCAAGCAAATTATGTTTTCACACCTATCATGTTTTCTAATATCGATCTATAGCAAATCAGCCTCAACATAATGTATGTTTCTCTTGTCCATGAAGCAGCGTCATCTCACCATCCTGGCATCCAACCCCTGTCTTTCCAGCACGGCAGCCACTTGTACAGCTCCCGGTGGTCTTGTCGCATACTTCTGTTTCATTCTGACACTTGCACTGTTCACTACAGTTGGTGCCAAACCACCGATCATTGCACACTGAAAATATTCAAAACCTAGTAAGCATTCACATGAGAATAACCGTTGTAGTTCCTTTGGGGGAAAATAACACACAAATAATAAGTATACAACTGTATATATGTTTATCTATAATAGCTTTATCTTACATTCATGTGGGTGACAACTGGATTAAAATATTAGCCGCTGCCACGGTAACCGCCAAACTCTGTACCGAGAAGCTGTATCGTTGTAACAATCGTATGACGTCGTAATATGACGCATGCAGTGCACGGAGTTCGAAAACCGTTCGATTAGCTCTCTTTGAATTCACTATGTACACGTTTATTTTATCGACTTTCATTGCTTTATGTAAACTATTTTACATATTGCATCGTTTGCACACTCAACTTAAACATAATTAACTATTTTTATAGCAGTTTTAAGCATGTCAGAATATGCTTCACTGATCTTAAAAATCCAGTCGAGAGGCAGACGTCCTATAAACGGTAGCGGCTTATCAATCTTCAAAATAGAATGAAATGATATTTTGGACATTTAACATGGCAGTAAGATAAATACGTAGTAAACTTTGTAAAATATATATGCTTTCACATCTGATCTGTGGTTTACTTTTCTCTGGGTAGGGAGTTCCTACAAAGCGTTCAATTATAAGTGTTATCACCAAACTGCCATTACCTCAGGGTTTGATTAAAACTCACTTACATTTACAATAAGGTGTTTGAAAGTTATCTTCACATCCTTGTGCACAGACACCAGTAATTGTATTGCACGGTGAGTCACCTTTACACGAGCCACACCGTTGTGAACAATTAACACCATAGCGTCCTTCTACACAGTCTAATGTGGAAAGAAAGAACATCATTGAGAAAAAACACCATATATAAACGTATGAAACACATTCAAATGAAACTGTCGATAATCCTTCTTCGTATTAAGAAAAGAAGGCCGTGGTCACCTTGCTGCCATCCCAGGACTTGACTTGACGCCATCACAACTGTAAGCTTCACTGACTTTATTGTCAGTTACACAAGGATTTGTGCATTCAAAGTGTGACAAGAAATGGCTAACAGTACCACAACCCTATCGCTAGGACTTCTTCTGTTGTTGTAGTCTGCTTTCATTTTGTCATATGATCATTTTGTCATGTGAGTACTTTAGATTTTCCATGGCAATTTTAGTATTTCGGAAAGTGGATGGAATAGTCAATGAGTTTAAGTCTAATGGAGCTCAATGTTGACGTAACCATTTTATCACAACACAAATGGATCCTAACGATACGTAAACTGACCCCATTTGGCAGCGAGCAACACAAAGTGTATAACTTCATTCCACTCCTCAATTACCAAGCAGTAGATTCCGATATTTTTAAGAGTACCAGCAAGATCACAATTTACATTGGTCTTATCAGCCACACAACGAATCACTGGACAGCATAATGTTATATCCGAAAAGAGATTCCTTGCTCTCTGAAGTGCTTGGCCTAGTGTTGAAATAGCAAGTGAAATGCGAGTTTTACTGACACTACCTTCGCAAAAGCCGATTAAAAACATCTCACTGCAAATCCATCGATAGAATGATTCCTCTAATAAACGCCTGAGTTCCTCAAATTAAAGATTGCAATCCCAGTAGCTGAACTGCTTTGACCTGATCATTATATTTCCAGGTTGTCAAGAATAACCGATTTTCCTTCCGTTTGTCCAAATAAATCTTAGTCTCAGTATACGCAAGCTTAAAATCTTACAACAAAATCAGCTGCCTCAAATTTGGCTCCTAATTGCCTCTACTAACAGAATCCTAAACTAACAGCTTTAGTCCTTCTTCATAATTAATCCGATACAACTTCGTTGGTTTTAAATATAAATAACAGTGTCAGATATTTCTTAAAATCACATAATTGCAAAATGAATTAGTCCAAGAACCCTGGGTCATATTCAAATCGGGGAGTCTTTCACTGTCGACAATAGTTCCAAGAAAATAAAGCCGCTGCAGTAACATTACCCCGAGTAGGTATTTGGTACACCATTGCAAAGAAATGGTCACCTTTGCAGTAGGGGACTCGGTAGCCAGGTTGACATCCCTGAGTGCAGATTCCGTCATACTTCCTACAGTCGGAGAAGTTGAGGCACTGGCCACAGGCAGAGGGACAGATGACGCCATAGACATACTGGACACAATCTAAAAGGATAGAAAAAATCCCAAACTATTAGAAAGGTATAACGTATTACCATGCATGTGTAACAATGTTACGTGACCAATAATTGTTGCCATTTACAATTGTATGCCTTTCTGCTGAGCCCAGAGACTAAATGGGTTGAGTTGACACTAGTTGGTAAGAGCATACGTGTACAGTTTACGTGAATATTATAGATAATACGGAGTGAGATGTTAGATACCTTGCTGACACCCTGGTCCGTATCTCCCAGCAGCACACCCACTCTTACAGTTGCCAGTCTCCTTGTCACATACTTCATATGGATCCAGACACCGACACTGCTTGTTACAGTCAGAGCCAAACCACCAATCACCGCATACTGCAAGGATCATAGCTTATCTTGTTCTTGCATGTCATGTGAACAACTGATAACAAGGATAATGTTAGGGCTTGTGTTCAAGATGTCGCGATTCCTTGATACCTAATGTGTACTCTTGACTAAAACATTAATTCATATTTTCCAGTAAAAATTGTGATATCATCAACTAAGAAATCCATATACATACAGGTTAACATATGAAAGATTCACCCATTTAACACTGTCAGCGAAGCGTGGTAGCAGTTTCACACAGTGGCAAACACACCACTGTTGTCAAATGATGCGGAGAGTGGATCTGTTCGCAGCTAGATTAACCTACAGACTTTGTTGACATGACAAAGAACATACTGATGACGTGAATCTCTTCTAGAGTGTAAGTTTCTTATAATGATACTAATGGTAATGTCAATGAGACCCGGTAAAACCACATGCACATTTGCCTCAACATAACAAGAAATTTACGATTTATAACGTATTTACCCACAACATGTGTCACATACGTGAACTAGTCTTATTTAAATCATATGACACATATATTCACATCACAGCACAAGGGAATAAGAGCATTTGAACAAATATATAACTAACACAATCAGGAAATACTCAAATTATCTGTACATAAAATCTGTAAGTACTTGTATGGAAAGATTCGATACCGTGAAAATTATGTTTATATGTTCAGTAGGTTAGATACTAACTGAAGTAAACCATTGACAAAGGCCTTAAAAGATTCCTTAAAGAATACTTCGTATTACCCAGTTCTCGAAAACGTCGAACATGTATACCATTCTATCAAACTAGATCACACGTCCTTGCAACACCTGCGTAATGTTGTTGATACAACAAAGAAATGAATAGAGTTTAGAACATTTTCATGCAATTCTCACCTTTACACAAAGGGGGACTGTAACCCCGTTGACATCCCTGTGTGCAGGTTCCATTAACCTTCTGACAATCAGATGACCCACTACACTGACCACACGTGTAGGAACAGCTGACCCCGTAGTGACCATGGTCACAGTCTGTAAAGAGTGCAAGATACTCACAATATAGCAGCAATAGAAAGAAATATCTCTAGATGGATACGTAATTGTATATTATATGAACGATATCATAATGACTTCAAAGGATATATTACATCACTATAATGCCACCAAATATCCAGACGATGTTTTCAGGAGCAGTATTTTAAAAACGGGCATTGCAATACACCATATCAACGCATTACAATTGTACATAACAATATGGCCACGCGCTGTATATGGTTAATTTGCCATTAGAACGACAGACTAATCTAAAGCTAGTATTAACATGACCAAACCTAACCTTGCTGACACCCAGGTCCGTGTTTCCCAGCAGCACATCCACTCCTACAGTAGCCAGTCTCCTTGTCACATACTTCAGATGGATCTAGACACTGACACTGCTTGTTACAGTCAGAGCCAAACCAACCGTCACTGCAAACTACAAGGACATGCATCAGTCTCAGTTTCATAATGTTCGTAATATACTTTCTATAGTCTTAACTAGCGATGGGTATCAAACTCTATGTTATGTATCACTTTCTTGTAGAACATGTTTCACTGAAACCTTGGTATGCAGGATACGTTATGTTATCGTAAGAAGAGCTCGGGAAATATAGCCAAAGTCAGGAGTTGTGAGAATATAACCTCGTTGGAGATTTTGGATCTGGGGTTTGTTTGTAAATTATGATTCACATAGTCTTGAATACCTATTACCTTCCAAATTCAAAATGTGACAGTTACAGTGTTTTGGGCAAGAGCTTCTCTTCCCTTGACAGTCATCACTGTATGGATGATAACTTTGCATTGAGTCTCTGTGTTTAGCTACTTTTTCTAGTAGGGGTGGGTATTGCAGAGAATTTTCACATAGCGATATATTGCGATGCGGAAGCATATATTGTGATAAGTATTGCAATATATTGCTAGAGGGTTTTTCTTAACAATAAACTACTTATAATCGAGTTTACGCTTTATTTATAAAGCAAAAACACAACAAAGTCACATATCTTGATTAAGCTTTCATATAAACCTTCAATCATGACAAAATAAGAATATAAATAATATTTGGCACAAATGAAACAAGGAAAAGAATATTTTAACATCAACTCAGAGGTTACTAGTTTGAACTAGTTTCTCCACTCTCAAAAAAAGCCCTCAGATTTTAGACAGCAACTTGACCTGGTCAGGACATGTCAGGGATCATTAGTTATTAATGAGTAAATATTTAAAACATTCTGATCCAAAACATTGCGAAACACTTGAACAAAAATAAAGAACACAACTTCAAACCGAACTTAACAAACCAGTAAAATGTAAAATCTTTGAAGGGCATGTAGAAGTGGAATGCATAGGAAAAGCAATATAGAAGTTGACATCCATAAATATTGCTTTTCTCAGTTAAATGTAATTTTCACCACTATCGTTCCCACCACCATTACCACAGTTGCCACAATCATCAAGATTTCCGAGTGTTACGAAGTTTTCCGAATGCATGTCAAAATAACGTTTTTTTCGATCCGCGTATCGCAATGCGTATCGTTTTCATGTCTGAACCGGTTAATACCGGTAAACCGGTTATATTGCGCAGCCCTATTTTGTAGCATGTACATGGTTTGCCATATGAAATCACAGATACATTGTCAATCATGACCTGTTGATTGTATGGTAGTACGTATTGTACTATATAAATTAGTTTTAAAAAATGATGTATTTAGCATTCGGACGATCTACAAGTATCCATAGTGTGGATTGTAAGGTTTTGGGTAAGACTTCACATTGACACAAATGAATATGCCTTTACAATACAACTTCATATAGTTTTTCCCAACCTTGGACTTGTTTGCTGTTTCACACAACAGAACGCAAGTAGGAAATGATTTTCTAAACGAATCTGGAAGAATTCCCATAAGAGCCAAATAGACAACATCTAGCTCTTACTCAATACATTGATTGCAATTCAAAACGAAGTGGTGAAACGTGGACATCATTGAAATTATTACGTGATTTAATTGTTTGTTTCACCATATGGCTTTTTTATTACAGTGCTAAAGTTGAATGTAAACTGGGTATCTTTCACTTCCAAACATTTCAACTTGTCAAAATGAAAATGTCATAAAAATAACTTCTGTATATTTATTTAAATCTAGAAAAACGTGATTCAGTTTATACTGTCAACTACATTGTAACATAGGCCATATGACCCACATTACAGAATAAAATTTGTCTTTCTGTCAGTCTTTTATCTTGGGTAATAATATAGCTGAATTGATTTAATTCTCTCATTATATACCTTGCCTGCTGTCAACAATATCATGATAGCAAACGAACTATCGACCTCGATTGGATCAAACTTACCAAACACTTGAACCTCGCACAATGTCAGAAATTGTCCGCTTATGGTAATGGTAACATTGTTCCCCCTTCATTACGTGGGTACATGTGACGTCAACAAGGTTTGTGACAGCTCCATGTAACCAGTCAGGTGTTGCTCCACTCACAGGGACACACAGGTCGCCGTTCACAAGCACCTGCAGGCCATTGTTGTTTTCCCAAACTTTAAACCATGAAAATGTAATTGAAAAATTAAGTGTAATATGAATAAATGATTAGAGGATCATGAAATACAGATGTTAATATCAAGTATTTGAACAAAGAATAGTGTTGCCAAACATCCTATACAAGAACGTTTATTTCTGTAAGACCTATGATTAAGTCCAAGAAACATCCTGTCGTGTGAGACACAGCGGCTGCAAAGCGATCTTCTTACTAATCATCCTGCTGGGTTGTCGCCCCTACAAATTGTGACATTGCCAGTAGACGTCAGTGTCACTTTGCGCTTCCTAGATAGGCCCGAACGTGTTTGACGACGTCGAAATGAACGTCAGGGCAACATCAGCCTGAGACGTCGGATTTAATGGTATTTAATGGGAACCCCACACCATACTGTACAAGGTAGGTTCATGGACTGTGCTATCGGGACGGCGTTTGAGACGACCGTTTGTCTTTCAGGACGACAATGCCCGTGCTTACCGTGCACAAATCCCTAATGCCCAACGGCTATCTGAAATCGACTACAGGAGACTCATACACATATTGCCTCGTTGAGCGAAGAATAATTTTACAAATCGTATTGTCTTTATGCACAACGTATCCCCAAACAACATTACCTGTTCAAACGTGTTCCCGATTCGACCGGCAGTATGGTTATCAACTATAGCTAGACATTGAAACATCTTAAATTTTATATTTATTTCAAGAACCGTGAGGATCCGGGTTAAAATTGGTCTTCAGTAACCCATGCTTATCGTAAGAGGCGACTAACGGGATCGGGTGGTCATGCTCGCCGACTTGGTTGACACATGTCATCGTATCACAATTGCATAGATCGATGTTCGTGCTGTTGATCACTGGATTGTCTGGGCCAGACTCATTTATTTACAAACCGTCGCCATGTAGCTGGAATATTGCTGAGTGAGACGTTAAACAACAAACCAACCAACTAAATCTCAAGTTTTTTCTGAGTATCCCACATTTTGGTAGGTTTATAACGTAGGTTTCATGGATCGTTCATGCTTTGGTTCTATTGAGGACTACCAATCGATGCTAATTGGGTTGAATAGCATTGGGCGTGAGACAGGTGGTGATGTTCTAATTCTGTACCTCACACGTGTGTCGTACAACAGTGACCCCCACCATCAACGTTCATGCTCTTGCTTCTTTTCATAAGCAATAACGGGGGCTTTTCGAGGTTTACACTTTATTAAACCAAACAAGCTCGTCACATGCACCATTTCTCCACACTCGGCAAAGGTCTTGTTTTCACATTTGCTGAAAGCTTACATTAAAATTTCAGCAAAACAAGCCAATAGTTGTACGACCAAAAATAATGATATTTAATATTGTTGTACGCATTTAAATGCATCAGGGGCGGTAAGGTAGCCTAGTGGTTAAAGCGTTCGCTTGTCACACCGAAGACCCGGGTTCGATTCCCCACATGGGTACAATGTGTGAAGCCCATTTCTGGTGTCCCCCGCTGCGATATTGCTGGAATATTGCTAAAAGCGGCGTAAAACGATACCTACTCACTTGCATCAACTGATTTCTATGTTTCAGTCACCAAAACATTTGTAACACCTTGTTGTGATGTTAACAGCTGGCTGGATATTAAATAAAAGTCTTGTATGATGACATTGTTTACACATTCAAATTTATACACACCAACTGTTTTCTATAATTCAGTATAAAAGTCATGCAAACATTTGTAACACCCTGTGGTAATGAGATGTGCATTATATAAAAGTCAACTTGTGTGATGAAAGTGTTTAAATGTCACTACAATCTGACTTCTAGTCTTGCATAATATATTTGGTTTTGTAACTAACATCTATTTAATATAGTGGAACTGTGTAGGACTTACAGTCCTGTCTCAGGTAGATCCTGAGCCTGCTGATGTTGAACATCCGATGATCATCAAGGAGAACCTGCCAGCTTGCAGCTGCGTTGTTTGTGTAAGAACACCTCCCGTGACTGACGTCTGTGTCAGTGTTCCCATCTACAGCATACGCAGCACAGTAGGGGATGCCGTATTCACTATAATTGCTACTCTGTGCTGCTGTCTTTTGAAATGCAATGTTTTCTGTAAGCAGATGAACAGAAACATACCAGAAGCTGACTCGTATGTCATTACGTAGTACGTTTGGTACAGGATACAAGAGCGAGATTATATTCATCATCAATATATTGCTTGTCAGTACTAACGTGTTTTAGGCACAGTTCCAAACATAAAATGCTGCTCGTAAGAAACGAACAAATCTACGGGGTGTTCAGGTTCTATTATTTACAAGCCAACGTCACATGAGAGCTAATCGTTAACAATGAGAGGGTTTTTTCAGCATTACAGTATGTTAAGCATGGCACTACATTCATATGAGTCGGGGTTTAAACTGCTATATACTGAGTGTCATGTTATGCAATCGTCTTATGTAAATGAATACACAACTGACACAAATACCACTTCTTCATTGCAGCACATGTTTACATGGAAGTGCACGAAACAAAAGAAAATCGGTGTGGAGACAACTACACACATACATGTCACAAGGAAGTGCATGCATATTTAGTAACACAATGAAATCAGTATGACGATTACCACACACATATATGTTACAAGGAAGTGCATGTATATTTAGTAACACAGTGGAATCAGTACGACGATTACCACACACATACATGTTACAAGGAAGTGCATGTATATTTAGTAACACAGTGAAATCAGTGTGACGATTACCACACACATATATGTTACAAGGAAGTGCATGTATATTTAGTAACACAGTGAAATCAGTATGACGATTACCACACACATATATGGTATTTGATTAATCTGGTCGTATCCTTATTTATCTTACCCATTTGGCAAAAAGGTCCGAACCATGGTGGTATGCAAAACCTGCCGGATGAAGATGCTGAACATAGAGTGTTGGGGAAATCTGAGCAGCCATTAGAACAGTGGCACGACTCTGCAACACAGAAAGAAGTCACCTTACACAACCTTGAGTATCTGAATATTTACGTCGGAACGACATACACTGTGGAACATTGGTATATATCAGGTCTTGTTGAAGAAAATATATGGAAAAACATTTCTCATTATAAATCGGGAACTTTGAACCACAATAATATTTTCAGGGTATGGTTATATTTGACACATAATAATATGTGTGATCTATCAATGTAATAATGTTGATAAAATATCTAGCAATGTTTCGGAACCGATAAGCCAGTTCTTATATATGCATTTTAGACGCATGAATTTAAGAACAGATGAAGATAAGGTCAGGAAGGGGTTAGGTGTTGGATTGGTGAGTGTTTCAATATTGATGGATTTGGGTGGTTTAAACGGCGATGTGTTTGAGTGGTGATGTGTTTGAGTGGCGATGTGTTAGGGTCGCGAAGGTTTTGAATGGGGATGTGTTTGAGTAATGATGTGTTTGAGTGGTGATGTGTTAGGGTCGTGAAGGTTTTGAATGGTGATGGGTTTGAGTCATGATGTGTTTGAGTGGTGATGTGTTAGGGTCGCGAAGGTTTTGAATGGTTTGAGTGATGATGGTAAGGATTTGGATGGTGAGGAATTAGGATAGCTTTGGGTGTTGAGGAGCTAAGGTGATGGGTGATTTCGTGGAGAGAGAGTATGGGTCTGAGAGGTCAAGATGGTTACAAGGTTTTGTTATGGTCTCGGGAAACACAATGCACCATGGCGTAACTTAAACCACAAAGCGCAGAACAGTTTATCAGGATTTCAGTCACGAGAACTCATTGATAACAGGGCAGACTGCTCCCCAGAATACTTTGATTCATCATACTATATGAAGAAAATTTGTTTCAGTTTAACAACTCTATTTAGGATCTCAACTCTGTATTCACGTCTGCCGACTCCCTCTATTCTATTAGTCACACACGTTCTACATATATCTACATATACATATACATATTCATGTACATATTTTCACTATCCATACATTGAAACAGACCTAGCTGGACAGTCATTGTTTGAAATTATTCACTTAATATGTCTGGTCTGTTTGTATTATTACCTTTCTTGTCACCAAAAACCTGCACCTCACAAAGTCCAAAGTAAGGCCCCGCCATTATAACTGTTACAGTGTCGCCCTC